TCAAGATCGGCTGGTGCAGGGGACCCGTGCCACTGCATCTGGGTGACCCGATCTAAGGCGTTGGTTGCATCATTGAGAGTGTCGTAGCGGTCATGGAGCGGTGAAATTGTGGGATCCTCACCTGAGCGAGTACGATGGGTATAATAGTTCTCCCATGCGGAGAACGCGTTGCCTCGCAATTTAGTTGCGAGCGTGGAGCACTACAACTCCTAACTAGTTTTAGTCAGTGTCAGGGCATGTGTGGCAGCATGCAAGCAGTTCGACACACGCATTGTATCATCGTAGTCGGGTATTTTCGACAGACGCACAAGGATATGACCGTTGTGATGACGACGAAGGGAGAGAGGTTGATGGGCCTGCACTGAGGCGGCAAATGTCCAGGCCGGTGCAGAGGTAGAAGTGGTGGCAGGCTGAGAGTCGGAGTTGTTGATGGAAGGTCTAACAGAGATGGAGGCAACGGCCGCAGCCAAATGTTTTGGAGTAGCGAGGTAGGGGGGTAAAGGGGGGGGAGTCGGTCAAGGGAAACGAGCGGGCAAGACAGAGGTGGGAGGAGCGATATAAAAAAAAGAAAGGTGAGCAGCCTATGAAGGGTGAGGTTGTCTCAGGGAGAGAATCTCCGCCTAGAGTTGCGCCACGGTGGGTTGTAGGGTAGCCACTCGCTGGGTGCGGGGGTCGGAGGTGGAGGAGGAGGAGAAAGTACCCTAGCGGGAGGAGGAAGAACTCCGGTCCGTAGTGTCGCGACCGATGCAGGAAGTTGAGAAGCAACACCGGGGTGGGTAGATCAAATTGTCTGGCCAGATATCGGTATCTGGGCGACAACACATGTGGCAGTGGCCGAAGCGGCGGGGGCCAATGGATGTACCGCAACTGACGGTATGGTTTGAGCAGTAGCAACACTCACCACTGTGGAGGGGGAGTGTTGGGTCTTGTCCGCAGAGGAGGACGAACCGCCATGTCTCCGTCTCTGGAGTCGTTGAGAGCCGGACTCTGAGCCGGTAGGGGATGGATTCTGAGAGCGGTGGGGAGAGCAATGAGGAGAAACCTTCAAGCGGCGAACTTCAAGGGCGAGCGCATTGACTTGCCGCTCCAAGGGTGCAAGCGCGTCGAGTCGCGCTTGTAAGTGCAATGAGAGATGCAAGAATAACATAAAGGTCCGTGGGGTCCACAGAGTGCCAACCCTAGACTGTCGGGTGGATTGGCGCCTGAGAGACGGAGGGTTCGTGACCAACGGGTTGCGCGTGAGATTATGGCGCGAATCCGATCAAGAGGAGAGGAGCCGTTCGAGTCCAGGGTGCCCGATGGGATGAGGCGGGAGAGTAGGGGGGTTACGAGAACCCTAAACCCTAAAAAAACCCTAAAAAAACCCTAAACGTGGTTTGGGTGGTTAGGGTAGGGTAGCGGTGACCTAATCAAGAAAAAAAAATAGTAACCATGAAGGGGAGGGGGAGAGTAAATAAAATGAACGGTTAAATTTTAAGATAAAAATAAAAATAAATAAATAATAAAAATAAATAAATAAATAAATGTGAACAGAGAAATAATATTTATTTTTTAGAAATTTTCGACAGCATTTCCCTACCCCCCAAGGGGTCAAGAATGTGCCAAGAGGACGGAGAGACCAAGATAAACACACTAAGGTTCAAAATGTCGCGTATTATAAATTAAAAAAAAATGAATAAATAAATAATATATAAATAAATAAATAAATGAAAATGTGGAGAGTGAAAAAAAACTAAGTGTTGGATTTTTCAAAAGTTTCGGCAGCATTTCGTTACCCCCATGGGGTCAAAGTGTGCCGGCAAAAGATATGACTGATTAAAATGAGAAAGAGTAGAGAGAATTTATTTTTTTTTTACAGCACTTCGTTACCCTCACGGGGTCTAAATGTGCGCCGAGAGCTAAAATAACTAAGTTCTAAACATATATAGAGGTGCCACAAAAAAATCAAAATTTTAGAATAAATAAAAATTAAAAATAAAACAAATCGAAAAAATAAGAAAAGAAGTAGAGGATAAGAAAATTCGAATTTTTGAAGAAAAGAGGAAATTTAAATAAAAAAGAAAGATAAAAAGAAWAAAAACATAAAAAATTCGAAGTTGGGGGGGGGGGGGATGAAAAAGTGAAGGGCAAAAGAGAGAAATAGGTGAGAGAGAGAAAAAGAGTGAAGGGGGAGAKGGGGGAAATGATGGGGTTGSAGTTAGGGGAGAGAAGGGGGGAGAGAAGAGGGGAGAGAAGGGTGAGAGAATGTGAGAGATAGGGATGAGAAAGGTGGGGAGGGGTATAAGAGATTAGTAGAAGATGGTGAGTGTAGAGGGGAGGAGAGAAAAAGATGGTGGAAGATGAGTGAAGAGGGAGGTGGGAGAAGGGAGTAGAGGTAGAGTTAGAAAAGGAAGTGAGAAGGTGGAGGGGGGAGAGAGAGAGGGGGTGAGAGAATAGGTTAGTGGGGAATGATATACTAAGCTCTTGGTTGACCAAGAGCAACAAGATCACCAAAATCCACTGGATAAGATGCTGGCAGCCTGCTGCTGCAGCAAATAAAAAAAACAATAATAATAATAATAGTGAGATAATCAGGGTTTGGCTGAGATCTTGATTAGCCACCCTGATTGCTTTGACGCGCAGCCCCCCAAGCCAGGAGGATCTTCAGTGCTGACAAACTGCCGGTACAACAATACAAAAAATAATAGCCATCATCATCATCATCGGGGTGGGATGAGATCTTGATCAACCACCCAGATCTCCCAGTACTGCAGCCCCCAATCCAAGGGGGGTCTTCACACTCCACAACGAACTGCAACGTGGCACTGCAGATGGCCACGGGCACAACCAGCAGCAGCCACGGTGTCTCCCCACCAGGGGTGGGGTAAATAGCTGGTATAACGCCTCTTCAACACCAGCGTGCCGCACCACTAAATCATAGATACATTGTGGCCAGTGTGTTACAGTGGTGGCTACACACATGCATGGCCAACAGTTGCCTAAGTTCAAACCCTCGCAACAACATGTATCCCGAATTTCGAAAAATGAGAATTTGGGAGCAGGGCGGGGCGAGATAGCGGGGCAGCGTGGTGCGTGTGTGTGCGGCAGCCTTGGCCTGCCTCTCTATTTTCTGCCACGTGTCAGCGCCTTGTCAGTCCGTTGCCGCTACACCTTTTCTCCCGCTGTTTGCTCGGAAAACGCCCGAAAAATGCCACAAAAAACCGTTGTCGGGCTTACACAATTTTTCCGCTGTAAGGGCCAGGGTGGGTAGGAGCGGGGAACGTTCCTGCTCTGATACCAGTGTTCCGGACCCGCCGGGATGGCGGTCCGTCAGGATGGACAAGGAGGGTTAACGAAGGAGGACGTAGAGATGGAGCTGGAAGGCACAACGCAGCTCCGACGCAGACTCAACACGCACGCACTCCAACATGTGCAAAAGTGAAGAATGCCGAAATACAGACTGTAGCTGGGGTATACCCCCGGCGGACTGACTGGACCAGACTAGACCGAAAACAGTACATGGCCTGTGGGGTCAGGCCACGGCCTGGTCCCACAGGCCAAACAGACAAATAGCCGAATAGGCCCTGGCTGTAGGCCAGGGCAGATAGAGGCCCGCTGCAATTCTTCTCTCAGTTTCACCTTTCGGTAGGTATAGCTACCACTACTCTCCTAAGCCTAGACAGGGGACCAGTACAAGCATAGCTACCCCTCACAATTAAGGGGATGCATGTTCCCCCTCGCTCCCCTCCCCCCCCCCCCCCCCCCCCCCCCCCCCCCCCCCCCCCCCCCCCCCCCCCCCAAATCGGCCGCGGTCAGGGATCTCATTTCCGATTCCGTTTCCCATTTGCACACCCCCGCTACTTAGGGGACCGCCAACACACCCCAAGCGAGGGTCATATTTATCCCACGGGGCGTGGTCCCACTAGCAAAGAGGATCGGATCGAATGCCTGAATCTGGACGAGGTTATCGAGATGTGCAGGAAATCGAGATTGAACTGCTTTTCTGCATCTGTGCTTAAAACACATCCAGATTCAGGAGCTCGATCCTATCCTTTTTGCTATTGCTAGTGGGACCTCGCCCAAGGTGTGTGTTCGGCGGGCCTGATTTTGACCTTTTCGGTTCGTTTATGTTGTTCCCGTTCCCGCGCTCGCCTCGCCGGCACTACTCGTCCACCCGAATAGAACGCCCGGTCATTTTCTCTACATCTGGACTGAAGTGTTGCCCAAGTACGGCGATAATGACCGGGCGTTCTATTCGGGTGAACACGGCGGGTTTCCCCCCGGCCGACTTCCCGCCGATTTTTTGCTGCCCATCCATCTCCTTTGGACTTTTGTTTTTTCTTTTTTTTTTCTTTTTTTCTTCTCCGGCCTGGGGGTACTTTTTCATTTCACATTTCCCTTTGCGCATATGTTTTTCCCCCTTCCCCTTCCCCTTCCCCGCGCCCGCCCCCGCCCCCGCGCCCGCCTCGGCCATTCAATAACCGATCTTCCCCGCTGTTTCCACATTTTCACCGCATATTCTTTCGACGGCGGATGCTTTGTCATCAGACCCCGCATGAACTGAACTGGCTCCCCCCTCCCTCCCCCTCTCTCTCTTTCTCCTCCTCCCCTCCCTTTCCCTTTTCGTTTTCTTCCCGCGTTTTTTCCCGTTTTTTTCCCGCGTTTATTCCAGTCCACGTCATCCTCCTTTCTGTCGTCCCTGCCGCGTGCTCTCCTCCCTCCGTTCCCTGTTTTCCCGCCTTTTTTTTTCTTCTGTCCACGTCATCCCGCGCTTTCCTCCCGCCTTTCCCTTTCCTGCCGCCTTCTTTCCTTTCTAAGACCCTCCTCCTCCTCCTCCTCCTCCTCCTTTCTGATCCTCTTTCCCGCTCCTTTTTCTTTTTCTTTTTCTTTTTCTTTTTCTTTTTCTTTTCTTTCCCTTCATTGTCTTCGTCCGCTGCTCTCATGGCCTCCCCTGCTCTCAATGCGTGCGCGTTCGAGCAGTGTACACTCTTTTTTCTTTAAATTGCGAGTTCTTTCTATTGCCTGTGAAGAGCATTTTCTCCATTTCCTACCCACCTTTTTCTTCTTCTTCCTTCTTCTTCCTCCTTCCTTCCTTCTTCTTCTTCCTTCTTCTTCCTTCTTCCTTCTTCTTCTTCTTCTTCTTCTTCTTCTTCTTCTTCTTCTTCTTCTTCCTCCTCCTCCTCCTTCTTCTTCTTCCCCCTCCTCCTCCTCCTTCTCCCCCTCCCCCTCCCCCTTCTTCTTCGTCNNCTCCCCCTTCTTCTTCGTCGTCGTCCTCCTCCTCCTCCTCCTCCTCCTCCTCCTCCTCCTCCTTCTTCTTCTTCTTCCTCTTCTTCTTCTTCCCTCTCCTCCTCCTCCTTCTCCCCCTCCTCCTTCTTCTTCGTCCTCCTCCTCCTCCTCCTTCTTCTTCTTCTTCTTCTTCTTCTTCCTCTTCTTCTTCTTCTTCTTCTTCTTCTTCTTCTGCTCCCATGGCGTCTTCATGTTTGTCCATAGGAGAACTCAAGGGTCACACTCATCACTCCTACGTGGGAAATGGTCGACTGGATCTTTGCAGCGATCCCCTTTGTTGTTGTCGATCGCATCGCGTTTGTTGATTGTGATATCAAGAGAACCCAAATTTTCCGCTCTGCCCTAACTTTTACCTCGCTATGGTGAGCGTTTGCCCTGACGAAAGCGGGGAGCGAGAGAGAGAGAAAAGGAGGAGGAGGAGGTGGTGATAGCTCGTCGTCGTCGGCAGTAACGGATGATGAACACGTGGAGGAGGGAGGCGTTTTTTTGGGAGCGATGCCCGCCTGGCAAGCGGCGGACGATCGGGCGTCCGATTCCCAACGGAAAGGACAGTGCGGCTGCTCTACCTTTATTAATGGAGGGAGGAAGCAAAACATCATCTACAGCTGCGTCGGAGAGACGATCGAAAGCGACAGCTGGCGGCTTGTGAGAATGCCACGTGGATTATAGCCGATTCTGATGACGTCCTTCTTGTAAAAAATGGCGGGAAGCCACGTGGATTATAGCCGATTATGATGACGTCCTTCTTGTGAAAAATGGCGGGAAGCCACGTGGATTATAGTCGACTATGATGACGTCCTTCTTGTGAAAAATGGCGGGAAGCCACGTGGATTATAGCCGAGAATGACGAGGTCCTTCTTGCAAAAAATGGCGGGAAGCCACGTGGATCATAGGCGAGAATGATGAGGTCCTTCTTGGAAAAAATGGCGGGAAGCCACGTGGATTGTAGCCGAGAATGATGACGTCCTTCTTGGAAATAATGGCGGGAACGGAAATGGGCACACCACTGTGAGAGAGGGAGGAGGAGTTGTGGCAGTTTGCAGGCAAACGATTAAGCAGAGGGAGGAGGAGGAAGAGGAGGAGGAGGGAGAAGGCTGTGAGAGTAGGAGGAGGAGGAGTAGGGGAGAGAGAGAGAGAGAGAGAGAGAGAGAGAGAGGTTGTGAGAATAGGAAGAAGAGGAAGAGGAAGAGGAAGAGGAGACGTAGGAGTAATCTGGAGAAACGGCGTCTCGGGGGAGAAAATTGCGCGGGAAATCTCTCTCTCTCTCTCTATCCACCTGGCGCGCTCGCTCCCTCGCCAGCGCCTGTTTCTGTTATCTCGCTGTCCTCCCACCTCCCACCTCCCACCTCCCACCTCCCACCTCTTCCATCTCGAGTGCCTAAAGCTAATTACTAATTAGGGACTGCTCCCCCATCTTGGGCCCAATTAGGGGGTGACACGTGGCGGCGGTTTTGGAGAGGGTAATCAATCAAAGTCCAAGTCCTAAATGGATACGACGCGACAACAACCAGCGGACCCTAAAAATAGCTCATCAACGCCGTTCCGACTTCTGCAGGCAGGACCGAGTAAGATGATGAGATGGAAAATACCTTTCTTGGCCTTTTGGGCTTTTGGGCTTTTGGCTATAAGATAGATCAAGTGCACTGTATCTGTTCTGTTCATCATCAGTTTAATATCTGATCCGTGGTCCATAGGACCACACACGAAAAAAAAAAAAAAAAAAAAAGATTAATGAAAAAAAAAACGCTGTTGTTGAAGATTGTTTGCACAGGGGATCCTTATTAAAAAACCGGACTCGCGCTCCCCAGAATAGGAGGGGCTGTGTGTCTGTGTTGTTAAAAAAAAAAAAAAAAAAAAAAAAAAAGAGCTGAGTTTCTGTTGAAAAAAGAAAAAGAAAAAAGAAAAAGAAAAAAGAGAAAAAAAGGAAAAAAAAGAGAAAAAAAGAAAAAAACCTGTTGCATTGCGCGCCGCCAAGTTGGGTAAGAAAACGAAAACGTTGTTACCCCTCCAAAGTGAAGTTTTTTTTTTTTTTTTTTTTTTTCCCCCATGTGAAGAATGCAAGAAGTGATATATTTTTTTTGCATT